GGATGGGGAGACACCTCTTATCAACAAGGGTGCCTGAACGAAGCATATTTGTATACCTAACCCTTAACTGTACCCCACAATATCATTAAAAATATTGTTTATAAAAAATAAAAAAGTAAACTCTCCCTTGGGAGAACATGCCTGCAATCCCAATACTTTGGGATGCCAAGCTGGAAGGTCAAGAGTTTGAAGCCAGTCTGGGAAACATAGCAAGACCTCATAGCTACAAGAAATTTTTAAAAAACAGACTGAGGTATGGTGGTAGGCACCCAGGAGTCTTAGGCTGCATCCAGCCTAGGCAACAGAGCAAGAACCTATCTTAAAACAAATATATAAAATATATTTAAATTATATAAAATATAATTTTCTTGTAGTTGGAGTCTCTGCCACCCAGGCCAGAGAGCTGTGGCATGCTCACAGCCACTGCAACCTCGACCTGTTGGGTTCAGGTGATGTTTCTGCCTCAGTCTTCCAAGTAGCTGGAACTACCCCTGGACTCAGGCAATCCTCTTGCCTCAGCCTCCCAAAGTGCTAGGATTACAGGCTTGAGCCACCACACCCAACCAAATTTTTATATATTATATATTATTTATATAATTTTTAACTATGTATATATGTAATGTCTACAATACACAAGCTTTCTTCTCTTTATAAAACTTGACGCTCAGATCCATTTCACCAGAAAACGTTTAGCTGTAATGCACTATGATAACCAGAGGAAAAGTGCTAGCATTTACTGAAGTCTTCCTCTTGCCTCCTGTTGAAGGAAGTCTGTTGAAACTACTTATCCCATAATTATGCTGTAAGAGTAGAATTTTTTTAAATCAGTAAACATTTTATTTTTATGTTATTTATTTTTTTATTATAAAGATGTGGAGTACAATTCAGGGTTAGGTATACAAACATTGATTATGCAGGTACCTTTGTTGATGAAGTATGCCCCTCCGTCCCCTAGCCGTTTCTCTCAACTGCCAATCCCATACCCTTCCCCTGACAGTTTCCCATTACTGCCAAACTCTTTCTTTCTTATAGTATTATAATTGTTCAAGGTCCACTTATGAGTGAGAATATATGGTACTCTTTTTTTATTTTCAGATGAAGAAATGGGGGGTCAAAGAGCTTAAGTATATTCAGGAAGTTCCTAAAAACGCTTAACGCTTCCTTTATATACTTTCCCCCAAATACTCATAAAGGGGAATTTCGACTCTGGAGCTTCTGATAAATTTTCTGTGAGATCCATGTAACTACAGACCTTGTCCTTCCAGCTTATACTCTCCTGAGCACTCTAGCTCACTTGCTCTCAGGTAAAGTTCAGAAGGCAGGTTCCCTTAATCAGCACCCTCAGGGTCAAGATCGGAAGGCCAAAGTACAAAATGTTCAGAGCCCTGTAGCCAAGTGTATGTGTTTACTGTGCTCACAGGATACTTTCAACCAGGAACACGTAGAGATCTCAGTTTCATTGTCGTATGTCAAGAAAACGCACATTCTGGGACTTCTGATATCCCCTAAATATGTTGTGACATTCCAACCTGAGCAGAAAGAAATTTCCAGTAGAACCTGTCTCCATCTCCCTATGAGGAATGGTCAGAGAGGACCGGTTTCTAGCAACGGAGATTAGAGTAAGCAGGGAAATGGGTCGACATCAAAAGTGGGAGCAAGAGGAAAAGGGACATGAGATATGAGAATATAAACAGAAGACTGCTCTGCCATCAAAGTGACCTTTACAGGTAAGTCTCATGACACCTACCTGTTTCCATGGATACGTATTCCCCACAGAACTCTGAGTAAAATTCTAAATCCAGTTTGCGGCTCCCTGTGCCCACAGCCTGCAGCAGGCTACACCCAGGCACAGTTTTTACGGAAAACCACCTGGGATATTGCCCTTGCCTCATGGGTGAATGGCTTAATTTGAATAGGAAGCAACAGTCCACAATAAGTGTCTGAGGCAAGGACCTCAGTAAAATATCCTGACGTTTAAAGAGAGAAAACGATCTTGGAACGATTTTAATTACAGCTGAGTAAGTGCTGCCCTTCCTGCCTGGTGCCAGCTCGCCAAACTCCAGTAGCCGAAGAAGGTGATCGTCAGCTCTGCAGCCCCCACAACGTCACGACAGCATAGGACTCTAAGAGAGTATAAAGTGCGCCTGCAGCGCCCAGCCCTCATTCTGCAGCCGGCGCCTGGGAGCTCGCTCCTGCTCTGTGGGTGGGACCTGACCATCCTCATTATCTCTCTCCCTGACTTCTCATTTTTCCTTTCTGCCGGAGCCGCAGACTCCTCAGAGAAAGTGCCCCCTCTTCATGCCTACCCCCTGCTGGCTCAAAGCATCCCTTAACCAGCAAGGATTGCAGTATCTTAGCTATCCGCTTCCAGGTGGGGCTAAAGATCCCCCTCCAAACCCTCATCCCTGGCACCAAAGTGACCAGGAGGCAGAGAAGAACATCAGGGGAGTCGTCGGCTTGGGTTGCTGGCGGGTGAGCTGTGAGGTACTGGGCGGCAGACCCTTGGCGATGGCCTCTCTCCCGACAGCGGAAAGCTGGACTGACGGTGGTGGGGGCTTGAGTGCGGACGCCTGGAACCTGAGTGCAGCGCTCGCGAGCAGGGAGGCCACCCGGGAGATCGATGCTGAATGGCTGCAACTGCTTGTCCAAACCCACAACCTCTCCTCCTCTTCCTCCTCCGCGCTGGGACTGCCTGTGGCGTCCCCCGCGCCCTCCCAGCCCCAGACCAACCTCACCAACCAGTTTGTGCAGCCGTCCTGGCGCATCGCGCTCTGGTCCCTGGCGTATGGTGTGGTGGTGGCTGTGGCAGTTTTCGGAAATCTCATCGTCATTTGGATCATCTTGGCTCACAAGCGCATGAGGACCGTCACAAACTACTTCCTTGTGAACCTGGCTTTCTCCGACGTCTCCACGGCTGCCTTCAACACGTTGTTCAACTTCATCTATGCGCTTCATAGTGAGTGGTACTTCGGCGCCAACTACTGCCGCTTCCAGAACTTCTTTCCTATCACCGCTGAGTTTGCTAGCATCTACTCGATGACTGCCATTGCGGTGGACAGGTAAGGAGAAGACAGGGAGGGAAGAGGGAGAAGGGAGACAAGAGATCTGGGCAGTGGGATAACGTCGCAAAGGAAGTGGTGACAGAGCGGGATCTAGGAAAGTGAAGAGACTGAGAAAGAATTCTTGGAGAAAGGAAGTCACTAACCTATTTGTTGTTGTCCAGTGACTGAACCAGTCTCTGCTTCCATGGCCTCCACCGTTGAACCCTTATGTCCCTGAACTAATGTTAAGAGCATATAAAGGTACTGAAGGCGAACGAGGGAGATGTGAAATTCTGCTATACCAAGTAGGACAAACAAACTTAACTAGAAACACGGAATACTAGAAAACTATCCCAATGATTTTGAACAGTTGTGCAAACTGCATATTCTCTGTAAAATGTACTTTTTGACTTTTCCTTTCTCAGTCACTATTCTGGCAGAGAAGGGGACAGTGAGTCACCCTCCTCTCTATATGGTCTTTGTATTCTCACCTCACGCTTCTCCATTCCCTAATCTTGCCCCAAGGCCAACATTTGTTTGGCCTCTCAGTCACAGAGAATCTATCAGAGGTAGCAAGCTCCCTCCAAAAGACTGCTATCAACTAGCAGTTGTCACCATGTCTCAAAAATAGATTTAATTTCCAATAATATGCAGAAGCTACAAACTGGTAACCCTGTGCCTAGACGTGTATAACTGAATCTGTTAGATAATAAGCAACATTAAGCCCAAGAACTACATTGTTTAAAAATGAGACACACTACTTTGCAGGTGTTGAACATAATGCTTTAGTATGTTTTCCTCATAGTCAATGGGGATTCTGAAATACGCAGTTAGAAGATAAATGAACCTCAAACGTGTTCCCATGCTTATATTTCTAAAAAAGGAAATCTGTGTACATTTGCTTTCTCATATTGAAAATTTTGAACTATAGACACCTGTGAAAAAAGTGATGGTTATTGAAAGCCGGTTACCCTTTAGTTCAAAGTTATGGTAAAAAATGAACCTAACAGTTGATTCCAGTCCCAGCTTTGTGATCGGCATCTGCATGGGGGATCCATGGGGGTGATGTCACTTTAACTTCAGGTCTCAATGTTTTTATTCGTGAAAAGAAAATAGAACTTTTTTCACAATAAGAAATCTATTTCAAAATAAAATGAGGCTGAATGTTAGTTTTTACATTTTGGCTGTCATTATGAGAAAAAAAGAAATAGCAATTTCTTCCCATCCTCTATATTTACTATATTTACTATATTTACCATATTTACATCCTCTATATTTACTATATTTACTATTTTGAAATAGTGAGTTCAGAGGTAATAATTATTTTCAAATGCCAAACCCAAAAGATTAAATTGAAGGGGTAATTATTAGTAGACAATAACTAGAATAAACACTAAATCACACCTTTTAAAAACCTCTGAAAATGTCAATCTTCCTTTTCTTGTATATCTCTGATCATCCACAAATATTCACCCTGTCATTTCTACTAAAGATAGAAGTGATTGCAAAGAATGAACAAAATCAGACTCAAGTTGGGAAACAAGTGAAATTGTCTCCAATATTACTCCACCTAGATAGAAGTGAATGTTCCTGTGGTGTGAGCACCTTCCCTTTTTGCTTTGTTTTGGTTTCTTTTTCTTTTTTATCTGTTCTAATGATGGCTTTAACGTTGTGATTAACAAAGAGGTATTAGATTATAACATTATAAAATGCTTATAATTTTCTTAAAATATTAATGATACAACATGGTTTGATGAAAATTTTAGTGCATGTGAAATTGGTATTTCAATTCTGAAGAAGAAAGAAAAACATTATTTTCCTACTTTCTTCCTGTCGACATTTATGGAATAATTTTTGAGTTATTTTAACTTATCAGATAGTGCGGTTGTATTGCACTTAATGATTTGAACTAATGAATGCTATTTATCTTTGTTTCTTTATTAGAAAACATTCAATCACTAAAACCACACAAAAATTTAGAGCACAGTTTTTTATAAATCTGATACATACTCAGTTCAAGTACTAAAAATCTCTTTTTAAATTGTTATTTTAAAGAATACATTTATTTGAGTATGCAATTTAAAAATACATAAATAGAGAAAAACCTGTTAAAGATAAATTTTAGAAGCAAAGACTATACACATAAAACAGTTATAAAAATTCTATATTGTTTACCAGGGCAGGACTTGGTGGCTCAGCCTGTAAACCCAGCACTGTGGGAGGCTGAGGCAAGTAGGTTTTCTGAGCCCCCGGTTTTGAGACAAGCCCAGGGAACTTGGCGAGACCTTGTCTCTACAATAAAATAAAATTAAAAATATCTAGGCGTGGTAGTTCACGTCTTTAGTTCTGGCTACTCAGAAGGCTGAGGCAGAAGGATCATCGGAGACACTGGAGAGGCCGGTAGCGTGCGTGCCACTGCACTCCAGCCTGGGCGAAGGAGTGAGACTCCAACTCAAAAAAAAAAAAAAAAAGTTTACCAGTACATGGAATCTTTCTGCATTGGTGTCCTATGAACTGGAAAGACTGAACTCATGGTATTTTCAGTCATTTTATAAGTTAAATTATCAAAAGACAACTATTTTAAGCTGACAACTGAATCATGGTACCTTTGGTTATGAATGCATGGACACTGCCTCATTTAGCTGAGCATTTAGTTAATATATGCTCCCAAAACTATCATTTTAAACTGCAATTTATTGTGAACACGTCAACTAATTTTGAGTGCTTTCTATCTCCATTTACTATAAATGTAATTGTACAATTCCAGCCTAAATGGAAAATACATTCAATTCACTGTCTCTGTTTAAAAACAAAAGATCCCATGAGCTTGGAAACAATTTCAGCTTTGACTTAGACCCATATGGCTTTCATTCAACTTAATCTTGCACCTGAAAAAGATCACAGCTAGTTTCTTAATGAATCTCTACGTCTTACAGAGAACGTTAAACTAGATCACACCTCTGTTATAATAAAAGACCTTGAGTTTTTCTTGAAGTGTTCTGCACTCATTCTGCACTGGGGAAAATGCTTACTTTCTATTTTCACTTTTCAAAGAATATTAGCAACTCTCCCAAAGATTTTAACATGAGTTCATAGGTTTTCGTCTTATCCTGAAGCATATTACCTTCTTCTTTGTTACAAAGTACTGCAAAACTGCTTTATTATTGGTCAAGAATTCATCTTTCAGTTCTGCACATTTCTTTCTTGCCTAGCAGGATACTTCACCAGCACTACCCCAACCCCATTGCCCACAGTCATGTTACATACAAGATGGAATTATTTGCCAATGAAGAGTTGTTTTTCTTCATCATCCTCATCCATTTTGAAACATAACTTTTAAATATAACACTTGTCTCAAAAATGTTAAGCTTTTCCCAAGATCATGCAGTAGAGCTAGGATTCAAGCCACTGCTGTTTGCTCTGCGACCCAGTTATCCTCTTAACCCCCTACACCATCTGTCCTCATACTTTTTGGCAGCAGGGACTGGTTTTGTGGAAGACAATTTTTCTACAGAGTAGGGGTAGGGGGTGAGGTGGAGGTGGGGTGAGAGGTTTTGAGATTATTCAAGTACCTAACTTTTATTGTGCAGTACTTTATTTCTATTATTATTGCATTGTAAAATATAATGAAATAATTATACAACTCACCATAGAAAAAAAAGGCATGGACAGAAGTGATACATAAAATAATGGGTGGACCATGTGCCGACCTTTGTAAGTATTGGATTCTGACAAAGCTTGCCACAGAAGCAGCTGTTCCACTGAAGTACATCAACTCACTTGCCACTCACTGATAAGGTTTTGATATGAATCTGCAAGCAATTGATTTATTACGGTCACTGTGCAATCAAACCTCACTGTTATTGTTAATCTGTATTTGCAGCCACTCCCCATCACTACCTCAGCTCCACCTCAGATCATCAGGCATTAGATTCTCATAAGGAGCACACAATCTAGGTCCCTTGCGTGCACAGTTTCCAACAGGATTCATGTTCCTATGAGAATCTAATGCCACTGCTTATCTGACAGAAGTCAGAGATCAAGGGGGGGGTCATGAGCAATGAAGAGAGGCAGTAAATACGGATGAAGTTTCGCTCACTTACTTGCTTGTCCCAACACTCACCTCTTGCTGTGCAGCCCAGTTCCTCAAAGGCCACAGACCAGATCAGGCCTTACACTATTCTGCCACCTAACAGGGTTTGGTTAGAGTCATTACCTTCAGCCAAACAGAACTTAGCACTTGTTTATACTATATATGACAAGTATTTATAGGACATCTTACTTACATATTACCTATGTTTTAATTGAAAATGTAGGAGCTAGTAAATTATTAATAGGACAGTTAATTAAATACAAATATTGTGATCCCTGTTCCTTTATACCATATGGTCATATTAGAAAATGTTAAATATTTTCTTCTATTTTCTAAGCATATGATTTGAGATCAAGTTAGAAACCATAGGAAGATTTATTTAGTTATTTATTTACTTATTTATTTAGAGACAGGGCCTCACTTTGTCGCCCAGTCTGGAGTGCAGTGGTGGGATCACAGCACACTGCAGCTTCAACTTCCTGGGTTCAAGAAACCCTCCCACCTCAGCCTCCCAAGTAGCTAGGACTATAGGTGCATGTCACTACACAAAGCCAATTATCTTAACTTTTATTATTGTAGAGACAGAAATCTCATTCTATTGCTTAGCTGTCTTGAACTCCTGGTCTCAAGTGATCCTCCTGCCATGGCTTCCCAAAGAGCTGGGATCACGGACATGAACCACCAAACCCAACCAGAAGTTTTATTAACTTATAAAGGACAATTTTAGTGCACATTGTTCAGTATTGATATGAATATTTAATAAAAGAATTTTTAAAATTACATTTTTCTTACTTGTAAATCTTAAAGGAGTTGTTACTATGTTTTGTCATAGTTCAAAAGCATTAACAAATATAGCAATAAACACTTTCTATTTAACCACAGTAACATGCCTGACATGAATAATGATTAAAAGGAATATTTAACC